CTTCCTCCGGGAGCAGGAAAGGGAGAGCCCCGGTGGGCGGGGCGGCCCTGGATTGTTGTCAGCTCGGCACCACTCACTGGGAGTGAGGGAACAAGTTGCCTGACTGGGTTTAAACCACGACACACACAGTCGAGGAACCTCTTGGATTGCTTCTGCTGGGCTCTACCATCCCTCTAACTGATATCAAGGTGGTTGAATTCCCCCCTGAGGACCAGGGATTGCAAGCCTGAGTCTGCTCCTACCTGCCTATAGAGGGCTTCATTCACACAGTCCTCCTGATTGGGTGGCCTGTAGCAGACCGCACAGTCCTTTATTTTATTTTTGTTTTAGTTGTTTTCTGCTATTTGAGAAAAACCCAAGTGAGGCTATCTGATATGGTCATGTAGGACAAATCACATTTGGAGTTTGTCTTTGAAAAACTAAAACAACTTATTTTTGCTTTTATATTAAGCGGAAGATTTTTTTTTTTTTTTTGTATTGGAGTAAGTAAAAGGCAACATTGCTGATTTTTCAGGACTTCCCTGATGTAATAGAAATAATGGGCTACGGTTTTGGGGTTTATAGTCACTTCTGAATAATCAAGGAAAATAAAAAGAATTGATTCATGGGCAAAAAGTTAGATGTAGATGTTTTTGGGGCTGAGGTTTTTTTAGCTACTATAATTTGAGCCATATGTTGCATAATAGTTTTATGAGACTATAAAGTTGTCCTCAGTTTATACCTATATAATTATTTTCTTTCTGTGACATTTAGGTAGAATGTAGGTGCATTTTACTAAATAGCTCACAGTTTTTAGCATGTTTAAGGCTAAACTGTTCTTAATTTTTATTTACAAATAATTTTACATCTTTTTACTAATTTGGCTGTAATAAATGAAAAGGAATAGAAATGTTAAGAAACTCTGTTTAATTAAGGAACACATAACATTAAAGCAATAAAATAGTCCAGAAATTTATTAACAGAATACTGGAAAACATTCTGCTATATGCAGAGAGAACACGGAACTGAAAGATATTTCAGACACCAAACTGAAAGATATTTACCTCTACAGCCCCAAAGATCTCTCAAATTTTCCGTTTCATTGCTGAAAGAGTACATACACTGGACCTCTAATTAGAACTGAACATCTGAAGTACAGATTTGAAAGAATGTTGCTGGAAATCGTATAAGCATGATGATCTCGATTCACACTGACAATGAAAAAAATAGGGTTTTATGTATATATACGCTAAAGCACTTCAAAGCTTAAAGAAAGCAATTTTTTAGCTTGTTAAAGTACAGATGCTGAAGCATGATGACATAATTACTGCTTTCATAAGCTTTAGCTAATAACAATTATAGCAGAATCTGATCAACACTTTTTTTGGTGAGCAATACAGATTTGGTTACAATGGTTCATTTCAAAAGATCGTGTTTTCATATGATTGTTTCAGTACTGTGAGCAATTAAGTATTTCTAAGTTCATTTTTATAAGAACCATTTTGGGGGGCTAATAAACTCATTTCAAGTTTATTTTCTTCATTTCTTTATTTCATTCATTACCTTCATGTTTATTTTGAAGTACAAATTTTTTCTAAATATCTGAAATTCAACTACATAATACCATTTTTATCCTTTTTCTTTGCAACAGGCAGTTCATCTGCAAATATTATTTACATCACACAATTTTATACATATAGTTGTTTAAATTTGGTTTATGTTAACTACATTTTTGCATAATAGTAGTTGTAATAACAACTTTAACCTGTATTTAAAAATAAGAAACATAATTATTGTCCCTTACAGCTACATTTTCCTGCTGAATGTTCAGAAGAAAAACAGGTGAAGATGCTTTCTAATCCAACATTTCTGACTTTGAATATTATACAATTATATCATAAGAATAATAAAGCTGAAAGGGAGAACTTTCTGTTCTTCTGCACACAATACAGTTCTAGGAATCTTTTAGTACTAATACTTTTGGAGATCTAGATTGGTTTATTATAAGAAAGAACATATTTTATGTTCTGATGTTTAGTTGACTTCAGAGAATGATATACCAAAAGAAAATAAAACTGAAAGGGTGAATTTTCTGTTCTTTTTCACACAATACATTTCTAGGAATATTTTAGTCCTAATATTTTTAGAGATCTAGATTGGTTTATTATATAAAACAATATCTTTTATCATTATCATAAGAGGCATAAACTTTTGAATAGACCAACAATTTGAAAGTGTTCAATGTCTACAAACTTCAAAGCCTGAGGCCATTTAAAACAATAAACAAAATAATTTTAAAATTAAAAAATATGCCTGGTTCCAGACATTATTGTTTAGAAATTTTTCAAAGATATTGAAAAATCAGGGGGGTGCAAATAGATGACCTTTAAGTTTCCTTCCAACCCATGATTATGTGCTAACTGAATTTTAATGGAATTTCATATTAGTCTGACTAATAAAGAAAACACCCAAAGTTGGTGTTAAACATTCACCATTTGACACGACAGAGCAAGATCAGTTAAGAATTAAATTTCAGCTCTCCCATTTTTATTTCTCCATAAAAATATATGGTTTGGCTTTTGAAAGGAAGTTTGGCTTTTATTCTCCCCTATTCTACAGTTCTTTTTTTTTTTTTTAAGTACCCTTATAAAGTTTAAAGACTTTTGTAAGACTTTAATTAAAAACATTTGTTTTTCTTAAGGTGGTTTGCATCTGAGTGCAGTCCAGGATTAAACTGATAAACTACAGTTTTGCAAAGATAACATACGACTTCTGTTGGCATATTGTTAGCTTAATTCTGTAATCTGAACTTTGTGTGAAAACGTTTATTATAGTGACACTCCTGCTGGCACGAAATAGTAACCTGCAAATTAGTGAACCTCTTCTTATCTGCCAATAGTAGTAGACATGATGCTTAGGGACACGGTTTATTGATGAACTTGGCAATGTTAGGTTAATGGTTGGACTCAATGACTTCAAGGGTCTTTTCCAACCTAAATGAATCTATGATTCTAGTCTATGATTCTACAAACACAACTGTAGCACATTTATGGAATGGGTAGAAGTTACTAACGTATAAGTATTCTACTGTATTTTGAATCAAAATACCAATTTTAGGGCATAACACTCACTTTTTCTGTTCACCATCCTTTTTTTATCTCCTAGTTTGTCCCAAATGTCTGTGTTACGTGCAACTGCATGAAGTAAATAGCATCTATACAGCCTTCTGTACGAAAATAACTCCATTTAGGAAAAGATCAGTTATGCCACTATCATTTAAATACATGGTTCAGACTTTGCTTATGAATGATCTCATGTTTGCAAAGTAAAAGTTGTAAGGAAAGAAAACTACATGTTCCCTTCTTGGCTTTCTTCCTCCCATTAAAACTTTATCTTTCCCTATCTACTGAAAATATATTGAGGCATTATCAGGATACAACTGTGAATAGTAAAGAATCATTTTAAAAGTAAAAGACATTCCTGATCTGAGTACGATGCCAATTTCTCAATAGGCCATAAGAAAAGAAGCATAGCTCCAAAACTGAAGGGTTTATGCCTCATGTCTCTTAGAGTGCCCTGCAAATATAAGTGGAAGTATAGTGTATTCTCACAAAATATATGAAAGGAAGGGAAAAATGAAACTCATTAATTGAAGTAATAAAGATTTATGTTCAAGCAGTGAGGTGATGAAAATTAATACTACTCTGCTGAATGGAAAGGAATTGTGACAATTGAAATGAATCGAAGGTATACCTCAAGTGATTTCAGTGGCTGCAGGAGATTGCTTTTCTATTTGGGAAAAAGAAAAATGAAAGATTCTCCCAGGAGCCAGGCATAGATGATCTGCTTCCAGTATTGCTCCTACCTTTGACCCACTGCAACTTTCTTTTTCTGTGCAGAAACAAGATTCATTTTCCTGGCTAGAGAACTTCTGCTTCTTTAGGGACAGGGGTTAGGCTTTGGTCTAAAATCCAAGTTCTAAACTCATTAAATCAAAGGCAAAATTAAAAATTCCAAGTGTGCTCATGTTCTCTTTTATAACTGCAGGATTAGAGTAACTTTACTTTTTCCACTCAAACGCACTTCGCAGTATCTTTATCAAATAGAAATAAGGATTAGCAATCAGCACTGTAATGGAACACCATACCATGTAGAAATCAATATTACATTGCACTAATTTTGCTGTTGAAAAAAGCAGGACAACTTTCTGACTCAGAAGAGACTTGACATAGCAAAGACTTTGCTGTTAGTCATCCCCTCAACACCAAGTAGTTATCAGATACTGTTCATTTCTGCTCAAGTTATCTCAGTATATCAGTACAATTTAAAACTCATACTATTGGGATAACGTAAAACAATACAAAATACGGACATGAAAAAGGCTTCAGTTTTAAAGTTCATTAAATATGCTACATGAGAGACAGGAATTGTAAATTAGTCTTATATACATATTTTTTATAATTAAAAAACAAATTTCCAAGTGCTACAGAGAAGACAGACATTTCAGGCATAAAGAAAAGAGAAAGCCCAGTGATAAACAGGAAGATAAACACACCAAAAACATTTTCCGTATGTTCTTTACATATGAAAGGTGTACAGAAATGAGTGTTTTTTATCACTTCCTTTTTTCTTTGCTTTGTAGAGGTAGCTCATCTTCATTTGGGTTTCTTTTCTAGAGGAAAGTTACTTGAAGAAACAATATCAGCTAGGATTAGGATGTTTCTCTATTCATAGAAATTTAGGGGACATAACAGCTTAAATATTTTATACTAATTTACTAAAACTGTTAATCTTTACATTCAATGTACCCAAAAGAATGTTACTTAGGCAAAACTCCTGTTAAAATCAAGGCCAAGTCTGAGTAACAGTGTAGGACTTGACAAATAGGACTCAGTGGAAGTTGCTTACTATTTTTTGAATTCACGGATTATTGATGCATTTCACTGAAATTCAAGATAAATTATCCAGTAGTTATTAGTATAATGAAAAAAAAATCAAGGGCAAAGAATTTTTTAACTTACTCTTCTCCAAGGTACATCCTGTTGTTATGTCTCAGGATAGAGATCTGAAAAAAAAAAACAGAAAAGCTTGTGATATTACTGGCATTAACAGCCTTTGTTAAATAACACACATCTATGTATACACAGACTTATGTTTCCTGATAGGAACAGTCAGAAGGAATTAGGAGTCATAAACATTGCAATACCTGATACATAACTTAAAAGAATAATTAGTAATAAAAGTGGAAATGCATCTTTGCAATCCTTTCTTTCCTCTTTTAAAACATATCTGACATTTCTGAACTGTCTTAGAAGTCATGAATTTCAGATCACATCAGAGAACATTTTTAGTTGCAATTTTCATAATTGAATGTGTAAATGATGTCCAAGTGGAAGTTTAAAACGCTGAATAAGTCAGTATTTCTACTATGGGTCACCATTTCCAAATACATGCTTTGTAATCCTTGAAACATATTTTTCAGCTTTTCATCGGTTCACAGATTTAATGACATCCAAAGACCAAATCAAATATAAACTTTATAATGCAAAGTACTTGAATGCACTGTTTGCAAGTCTGCATACAACATTCTATTAAATATTATAAATTGTGTTAGGGCTTGTACTTATTTTTGCAAAAGCTGGACTCAAGTAATAATAATTAGAGAATAATAACTAGTAGGCTATCAACATTAACCTCAGTGCTTCTACATCTGAGTCCTTGATATTGCAAAAAAAAAGTAATCGTAGGCAAAACATCAATATGCCATTTCATAACTCTGAAATATTTCATAATAAATGATGAAAGCTTAATCAGATTGATTTGGGAATTCACAAGTGATTTGACCACATGCAATAATATTTGTAATGTGCACAACTTATGATCTTCATGCATTGAAGAAGGAAATGTTCAAAAGCTCTATTCCTCTTTTCCCTCACCTGTTTTTCTGTCAGTTTCATGGAACCCTAGCATGAAACCTGTATTCCCAAAAATATTTAAAACGCTTCTATTCAGAGAAACTTAAGCTTGTTAACTTAGCTAGAGGTATTAAAGATAACAGGAAGGGATTCTACAAGTACATAGCAAATAAGAAAAAGACTAGGGAGAATGTAGGCTCCCTCAGGAAGCTCTCGGGAGAACTGGCTACGCAGGATTTGGAGAAGGCTGAGGTTCTGAATGACTTCTTTGTCTCAGCCTACACTGGCAAAGGCTCTGACCAAACCACCCAAGTCTTGAAAGGCAGATGCAGGGACTGTGAGAATGAAGACCTTGCGTCCACTGTAGGAGAGGAACTGGTTTGAGACCATCCCAAAAATCTGAATGTGCACAAGTCCATGGGTCCTGGATGGACCACTCGGTGGATAAAGAACTGGATGGATGGCTGCATGCAAAGAGTTGTGGTCAATGGCTCAATGTCCGACTGGAGACCAGTAACGAGTGGCGCCCCTCAGGGATGGGTGTTGCGACTGGTCTTGTTCAACATCTTTGTCACTGACATGGACAGTGGGATTGAGTGCGCCCTCAGCAAGTTTGCCGATGACACCAAGCTGTGTGGTTCGGTTGATACGCTGGAGGGAAGGAATGCCATCCAGAGGGACCTCGACACGCTTGTGAGGTGGGCTGATGCCAACCTCATGAAGTTTAACCATGCCAAGTGCAAGGTCCTACACCTGGGTCGGAGCAATCCCACGCACAGCTACAGGTTAGGCAGAGAAGAGATTCAGAGCAGCCCTGCAGAGAAGGACTTGGGGGTGTTGGTTGATGAGAAAATGAACATGGGCCGGCAGTGTGCGCTTGCAGCCCAGAAAGCCAAATGTATCCTGGGCTGCATCAAAAGGAGTGTGACCAGCAGGTCGAAGGAGGTGATCCTGCCCCTTTATTCTGCTCTTGTGAGACCTCACCTGGAGTATTGCGTGCAGTTCTGGTATCCTCAACATAAAAAGGACACGAACTGTTGGAACAAGTCCAGAGAAGGGCCACGAGGATGATCGGGACTGAAGCACCTCCCGTATGAAGACAGGCTGAGGAAGTTGGGGCTGTTCAGCCTGGAGAAGAGAAGGCTGTTTGGAGACCTCATAGCAGCCTTCCAGTATCTGAAGGCCACCTATAGGGATGCTGGGGAGGGACTCTTCATTAGAGACTGCAGTGAAAGGACAAGGGGTAACAGGTTAAAACTTAAACAGGGGAAGTTTAGACTGGATCTAAGGAAGAAGTTCTTTCCTGTTAGGGTGGTGAGGCACTAGAATGGGTTGTCCAGGGAGGCTGTGAATGCTCCTGCCCTGGCAGTGTTCAAGACCAGGCTGGATGAGGCCTTGGATGATATGATTTAGCATAAGGTGTCCCTGCCCATGGCAGGGGGGTTGGAACTAGATGATCTTAAAGTCCTTTCCAACCCTAACTATTCTATGATTCTATGATTCTATGATTCTAAGTGTGACGTTTTAAGGGCTGCAAGATCTAAGAATAACAACAGATAATATTAAGAGATTGAAATCTACCGTATCAGTGCATAAAGATTTGGGTTTAGCCCTACAGCAACTAGAAATGCTGAATCTTAAGTGTTCAAACAGGAGAAGGTTAATTGTTTTCACATTTTGTGGGGATAGATGAAGAAACATATCTTAAGCAATTTGACTCCGTAAATAATGAACACCTGAAACTGATCTAGGATCAAGATTTTCAAGCATATTATTGTGAATATGGGCAAGTGGGCAGAAAGCAGATAAAATTAAAAATTGCAATCTGGATTTGCATCAGAAATAACATACTGTCAGTTCACAACATGAATGACTACATGGCTTATTATTGCTCTATACATGCAGATGTTGGCCTAAACATTCCCTCTGCCACCCCAAAAAAGAAAAAAATCACACACACACAACCCCCTCCCCCCCAAAAAAGACCAAAACACCACAAGCAAGTAAACAAACAAATTCCCCTCCAGATCTAACCAAATGCTCAGAATTCATAACTTATTTCAGTCTGTGCTTTGAATTCTATTACTTCAGAAGCTGAATTACACTCCCGTGAGCTATTCACACTTTCAAACTTTGCAAGTTAAAGTTCTAATTAGCAGTGAGCTTAATGTAAATTATTACTTCCTCCTTTTGAAGGTAATGGAATAACCTAGACACTCTAAAAGCCTTCTATAGCTCACCTTTAAGAGCAGTGAATGATCTTGCCTCTTGTCAGATTTGTTGAAATTATTCAAGTGGGGTTTACTGATCAATAACTATATGGAGAGAAGAGTACATCATATTCTGCAAGAATTCCTTAACTGAGTTTAGAAGAGGGGGCATATCTTTGAAGTTAAAGGAAAAGCTACTGAATTCCTTAGATTCAATAACACATGCATGTCTTTAAAGTTAAGATTCTGTAAGGAAAGTTCATAGGACTATTTCAAGTGTCTAATTCATGGAATCTTAAAAAAAAAAAAACAAAAACAAAAAATTAAAAAAAAAAGAAAAAAAGGCAGAAGCTTCTTTCACATGGCAGATAGCTAACTTCAGGACGCCATTCTAAGGATACTAGATATGCAATAGGGCACTGAGCACATATTTTTGAATGTAAGCAAAACAGTCATGTCCTGGGGTGGCACCTCAACAAGGGGATGTCTGGCAATTAAGTGACATGTTTCCTTGTGAAATAGTTCCTCCCTTCCTAACACATTCCTCAAAATACCACCTTTTCTATTGTATTCCTTTATCATTTTAAATCAGAGGGTTTGGACAATAACTTTTTCAGATAACTTAGTAATTGGATTCTAATAATAGTCCAACCTCTTCTCTTCCATATCAGTTTTCTCAGACCTGAAGATGAATTGTGTTTTACTTGAAGGACTAATGTTTACAAGAATTCCAGAAATAAAGAGTTAGTGTCAAAAAGAGTGACAGAAGCTTAAAAAAAAAACCAAAACAAACCACCAAAAACCCACCAAAAAACGAAAGAACTATGAACTAAATCTAAACAGAGATGAAAGATGTGTTTTGAGCTTTCATTGATCATTTAAGAAAACAAGCTGTTTAATAAGTGCTGTTTAATATTTTCATCAACGACCTGGATGAGGGAACTGAATGTACCCTCAGCAAGTCTGCTGATGATACTAAACTGGGAGGAGTGGCTGACACACCAGAGGGCTGTGTTGCCATTCTGCGAGACCTGGACAGGCTGGAGAGTTGGGCGGGGAGAAACTTGATGAAATTCAACAAGGGCAAGTGTAGAGTCTTGCATCTGGGGAAGAACAACCCCATGTACCAGTACAGGTTGGGGGTTGACCTCCTGGACAGTAGTGAAGGGGAAAGGGACCTGGGGGTCCTGGTGGATAGGAGGATGACCATGAGCCAGCAATGTGTCCTTGTGGCCAAGAAGGCCAATGGCATCCTAGGGTGCATTAGAAAGAGTGTGGTTAGTAGGTCAAGAGAGGTTCTCCTCCCCCTCCACTCTGCCTTGGTGAGGCCGCATCTGGAATATTGTGTCCAGTTCTGGGCCCCTCAATTCAAGAAGGATAGGGAATTGCTTGAAAGAGTCCAGCGCAGAGCCACAAAGATGATTAAGGGAGTGGAACATCTCTCTTATGAGGAGAGGCTGAGGGAGCTGGGTCTCTTTAGCTTGGAGAAGAGGAGACTGAGGGGTGACCTCATCAATGTTTACAAATATGTAAAGGGTGAGTGTCAGGATGATGGAGCTAGGTTTTTTTCAGTGATGTCCAGTGATAGGACAAGGGGCAATGGGTGTAAACTGGAGCATAGGAGGTTCCATGTGAACATCAGGAAAAATTTCTTTACTGTGAGAGTGACAGAGCACTGGAACAGGTTGCCCAGGGGGGTTGTGGAGTCTCCTACATTGGAGATATTCAAGGCCCACCTGGACAAGTTCCTGTGCGATGTACTGTAGGTTACCCTGCTCTTGCAGGGGGGTTGGACTAGATGATCTTCTGAGGTCCCTTCCAACCCTTGGGATTCTGTGATTCTGTGAAACAGGCTTCTTGGCAGTAACTGAGTGACTTGTGTGGTCAGTTTTGGCCAGTGTAAATTAATTACTTCTTACTTTATTACATTAGTATCAGTT